CATAAGGTTTTTATGATGCTCGCTTTGTAACGCTTTGTAACTGCTCCTTTCAATGGCACGGTCACAACACCAATAATTATTGCATTCGGTGTGACTTCCTTCGCATAAAGTCAATGAAGCTTCACCATGTACTTTCGAACGAAAGCGCCAAGACTCTCATGAAAACTGGTCGCGTCTCATACAAGTGATTGGCGCCAGCCTTTCGCGTTCCATGTGGGCCTCTTCGAACCCCTAAATGCTTTCGCAACGGCGTTCTGGGGTTCGTATACGTTCTGCGGTATGTTTTCTTCAGGACTGACATGCCGTGCGCCTCCAGTTGTCTCAGCGATGTTGGACACGTTGAATATCAATGTTAAAATGAACGTTTTACAGTAAACACAATTATTCATTGGAACGCTTTCCATTTTTAATTTTTTACGTCAGGTTCATCGGGTTGAAAAAAAAAAAAAAAGCAAACACGGCGTTGGTATTGGTGTGAACGTACGTCACGATCCGGAACGCAACAGAACAGCACACGACAAAACAGCACGTGACAAAACAGCACGGTCAAACCCGCACGCGTCAAAACAGCACAGCGTCAAAACAGCACGGCGACAATACAGCACGGCGTCAAAATAGCACGCGACAAAACAGCACGGCGTCAAAACGGCACAGCGACAGAAGAGCACGTGCCAAAACAGCACGGCGTCAAAACAGCACAGCGACAAAACAGCACGCATGTAAAAAGGCTGTAACAGGTAGCGTTTTATGAAAACAAAACAGAACATCAAGAAAAAGGGTTGGACATTGCATGGCATTATTTAACATCTAGTGGAGAACCAATAAAAAAAAATGTGCGCTGGCGGCGAAGGGACCGCACTGAAGTCAGTGTCCCGAGTGCTGCTGCTGTTGTGTGATTGCTAAAAACAAATAAAGTTAGCAGCAGTTACTAATACTTAACTACGCTAATTTCTGAAGAGATTGGGTAGTTAGAGGGGATGCCTTCGCGTCGATGTTGGCTGCGTTGTCTGGTCATTTTTGAAGTATCAGGGAAAGAGGAGAAGTTATTGGGAGAAAGATATCCATAGGTTAAAGCTATGAACTGCCTGGTTTGTGTCGGTCCGGTGAGGTTCCGTAGTACTCGCCATTTCGTAATTACCACCTAAGCGTAGAACGTACTTCCCCCCCCCCCCCCCATCCCAAGAAGAAAAAAAGCGGGAGATGCGCCGATTACAGATGCATTGATAGAAACGGTAGGATAAGGTGACTTTAATGTGGAGCGTATTCAAGCTGTATCACGGGCACCGATTCTGCGGGGTTCATTCGCCGTGAATAAAATCTCATGGAAACACGCGGCTGGAGCTTGCACGCGCGAAGTTTTACGTTTTGAGTTGAATTCACAGATTATTGCCGACTAAGGGCCCTGATCGAGTGGGAACCGGTGAAGCAGTAACATGCCGCAGCCCCAATGCTGTGGGCTTACACTGCAGCATGGGTTGAACCCATTGTTGCCGCACACATTTTCTTTTTTTTTTCTTTTAACGACTAACGACAGTACATTGCTGTGCGATTGAATTATTCATTGTCGACGATATCACCAGCAAACTTGCGCGCCAAAATGAGCAAAACTGTTCGAAAAAATTGCGGTGGCTTAGCTCGGCTATGCCAGGATATGCGCAGCGTGGGCTTATGCGCACAAAATGAGAGGCGCTATCAAGCGGCTCCGGTGCAGCGTCAGACTTGCCTACTGCGCAACGGAGGCGCAAAGCTGGGCACGCGGTGACGTCACTCCTCTGGAATGCACAGACCGGCGAGGCGGGCGCGGCGGCGTCGGCTTCGGCGGGCCAGCTGTGCACCGTGTGACATCACTGCTCTTCGCGCATGCGCAGCACGGAGCACGGCTCATTAGGCGAGCCATGTGAAACTGCTCAACCTCGGCCAGTCCGAACTTGCTTCTAAAAGAACAGATTCGAAAAATTGGCCGTCGACGAGTTGGCTTTCGACGAATTGGTCTAGAACCTCAGTTCCTTTACAGTGCCTTATTTGAGACGTGCATTTTTTAACTTCAAATGCTATATTTAGAGTTCAGCGTTTTCGGGTTAGACCGAATATCACCGGTAAAAGTACGCCAAATTCATTTTTCCTAATTCGGTCTTTACTGAAAAAGTTCAGTATTTTTGAGGGCGTTTGAAGTGGTGTGTGTGGGGGAAGGGATGTGACTCTAACTAGGGTTTCGTGTTTTCGGATAAATTCGAAAAACACTCGCCGGTACAAGTCTCGTCTATTCGGATTTATCTGATAAACTTTGAATTTCGATGTGCCAATCCCTCCCCCCCCCCCCACCCCGCCCACACACGCACACAGAAATATATATTATACAATTAATGGTTTAATCAGCGCGTAGAGTAAATGGCCCTGGGAAAATGCCACCACTCTCAAATTTCGGCCAGGACAGCAGGTCATTGTACTATCGGGTCAAGACAAAAGTCACTGTTTATGTTTCCGGTTTGGGGCGTACTATTTGTGCCTGAGAGGAAGGAGAGGTTGTGTTCTGTAACCGTGAAAGCTATGGACCATAGAAATTACATAAAGTGGGGAAGAGGACAGTCGAAACCTCTCTATTTCATCCTTTTCCACTCTACCTCTTGCGGCCGCGCGGTAGGTTGATGGAATAGCATGGAATGAATACAGGCTTCCCAGCGGTTACCTCCAGTAAGTTATTGATTTTAAGGTATTCACATTTATTGAAATAACACTTGTGTGCCACTCTTGTTCTAGAACAAATTAGTATTGCCAGTAGTAATGGCACCAACGCCAAATAAACTGAAGAAAATATCAATTGTTACAACCGTTTTTTTTTTTTTTTTGGTCCAGCATACGTTTACGTTTCGATATTATTTGTTTCTTTTTAATAAGAAACACTGCCAAATTGAGCTCCGAATTTCGGAGAATACGGAATCAAACAAAAATAAACTTCAATAAACTCCGAATTTTCGGCAAAAAATAAACTCAGAAAGACACCGTCTGAACTTGACGAAAACCAAACTCCGAAAACACGGAACCCTATTCATTACTGACCATATCACCACTTCCTTTCGCAGTTTTCAGCTTGTTTGCGAGATCGGTTTAACTTTCAACAAAACCTCCGGGGGCGCAGGGGTCTTCAGGACGAAATCTGGGTTTTTGCCTGATACGAATTTGTGCCGAATTCTTTGTTAAAAAAAAAAAAGAGAGTTTAATCGTGAAATCAAACAGCGGAAATCAAGAGCGTCCGTAAATGCCGCGCATTGTTTAACACCCCTAGCTTCCGTCTACTAGAGGAGGGCATAAATACGAGTGTTATATTGTCATTTCTGCCGTCGGCGCGAATTTATCACCTCTCGCAATCGTGAAAATGGGGGAAAACGCACCGAGTACAATGCTTGCTAATTTCTTCATTTTGATATTTTCCTCTCCGACCGAAGTGGTACTGAAGCTCATGCTTGTCCTGTGTACAAATACGAGCACACGACGATACTGTCAGATCACGATAAGGCCCCAGTGCATCTTACAGAACAGGTGGCGTCGGCTGCCAAAGATGGCAACAAATAAGAAGACCAGTACCTGGTACTCAATAGACATTTGACACAAACGCTTTTAATTATTGTATTTTCGTTAGTATACTGGTTTTCGTCAATAAACCTAATATAACTGAGAAGTTTATGAGTCTACAACTATTCACCGCAATAAACCGAAAACTTTTGTTTGGAATAAAAACCGAAAAAAAAGTTCGCGGAATTGCAAATGATACAAACCGAAAACGCCGAACCCTATCTATATTGTCAATGTCATGTTTTTGCGCTGCGCTGTTTTGTTGCTTGGCTGTTTTGACGCTGTGCTGTTTTGTCGGGTGCTATTTTGACACGTGCTGTTTTGACGCCGTGCTGTTTTGGCACGTGCTCTTCTGTCGCTGTGCCGTTTTGACGCTGTGCTGTTTTGTCGCGTGCTATTTTGACGCGTGCTGTTTTGTCGCCGTGCTGTTTTGACGCTGTGCTGCTTTGACACGTGCTGTTTTAACCGTGCTGTTTTGTCGCGTGCTGTTATGTCCTGTGCTGTTCTGTCATGGTGCCATCACGATCATCTGGTGGGCTAGTTGGTCATACGTTTTGCAGTAATGCTTTCTTCGACATAATGGTATAACGGTAGCACAAGGCAGTTTGTTCCGGTTTTATTTGTTTTATTTTTAGTCTGAATACTTTGATTTACGTTTTGGGGTATAGATATTGCGTTTTAAAGCGACGTACTGCCAGTCGCTTTATGATCGGTGAAAATGGTGGCCCAGTAACTATGTGCCGATCTCGCGACGGGCATTTGCGTGCATGTCTTGGATCCACAGATATCGCAGTGTATCGCTAGGTAGTACGTAATGCGTAGAGCCGCGCTGCGTCCAGTTTCGCCGGTCATGTGTTCCATGCTTAAGGCAGGGGACACATAGCAACATAACAACCGGTCACGGCGTCTCTTCGTTACTTCCGCGCGGTGCCGCGGCCCTCGGATTTGGTCGATACAGATAAAGCTGCTCGGTGCGCCTGTGGTTCGCCTTTGCGGCGACCGCCGAGTGGTGTCCTGCGCCCAGTTTCACAGCTCGTGTGTGCCATGCTGAATGTGTGGCGGCGTTGGCGTAGCGCGGCGGCGCAGAGGTCTACAACGTGACTAGTGGCGGCTTCCGCAGGTGTAAACTACAAATTCGATTCGCTTCTTAAATATAGCTCTTAACATTTTGTTTCTTCGTTGTAAATTAATTTATTACGTTGTTTCCCTATCTAGGCTGTCTAATTCTTTTATGCATCTTTGCTTATGTTTTAAAGACAAAGAATACAATAAGGCATGCGTCTTCTTAAGTGCAGTGCGTTACTTAGGCGCTCCACGTGGAGTCCATCGCCTTCAAAATGCGATAATGTTTTTTTGTTTTTTTTTTATCACGCAGGTAAGATTCACTACTCTATTTCAATTGTAAGGCATATTTAAAATGCAATGCTTACCGGAGTTACAACTGGCTCCTTGCCACTGAGGTCTGTTAGAACCAAGTTTTCTGAGAGTATTGAACACTTTTCTAAGTTAAGTGTTAAGCCTTCTTTAATGTGGATCACTTTTTCACTCGAAATGCCCCTGCTTTCAAGAAGCTTTGGATAAGCAACTTCGAAGTTTCGGGATTCACCTGTAAAAACATCATAAAGCTGAACTTAATAGTCAAATACAAAACCTCTTTACCGTCCTACAAGAATCGTAGCAGAAATATTCGGTCTAAGATGTTTTATACATGGTATTGGGGTTACTTCGGTCCGTCATGATATGTTGCAGGGAACACTTCCGGATCGAATATTGTTTACATGTTTTTAAAGGGAAACATCACCGCTAGTGTCTTCCACAATTAAATCTTTTTTTGCTGTACTTTGCGCGTTCACTGGCTTCTTGAAGTACTGTTATGCTTAGCAGTTAACTGGACAACATTACTGGGGAAGATCTCCACGAAATAAAAGATGCCGCGGCCGTCGACCAAAAACGGTCTCTAACGCGCGCCACGATTTCACGCTCAGTATGATACTACGCATCCTCGCTTAATTTTAAAATCAGAACAGCACACACCCGAATTTTCAAGACAGCGAAGAAACTTGATGGAGCGAATGACAGTCCAGTTTTTATTTAATTAAATATTTATTGAAATAATTTATATGCGCCACTTCCGGACATTTGCACGTCGAATTACATAACTTTATATTATAGCCTGATTCCAGACTTCCGTGATACAGACCAAATTGGTTCTGCATAAAATATTTATTGACTAAAATGATAGTTTTGATTGTTTTTTTTTATCACAAAGGAGCATCATTTGATAACGCTTAACGTTACTTTTAGGGTGTATATGCGCTTTTGAAGAGATGGTTTACGTAATATTTCTGAACAAACTCCAGCAAAAAAACCACGAACGAACTAAGAAAACAACGTTAATTTTGAGAGCATGTATCCGCGACGTGGAACTGAGCCCAGGTTCAATTCCAAGTCAATTTTAGACACGTCAATTTAGAAGTTAGAGAACAAGATTTTTTTTTCTTTTCAACATGCAATAAAGTGCCCCTTCGTGACACGATTAAAGCGAGGCCTCAAACATAGCATAAAAGCACTGGTACCATCCTTTCGATTTTAGGAATCGCCCACGTCGCCAGACGCAACAACGATTCACGTGTGTCTGCAAAAAAAAACACACAAAAAAGAACAACTCTTTGAACAAATAGGATATACCCCCAGGAGTGCCGCGTGATCGTAACAAATCGGACGCGAAGCTAGTTTTCTTACCCTATTGCCTGGGTTTTATAATCTAAAAAAATAGCCTTTTAACGTCCGCGTCTGCATCTGTCTCCACGTGAATATCATTCACAAGATGGCCGTGGTAGATTGACGTTGTCACAACTGCGCTATCTCCACTAGTCGTCGAAAACACGTCACATAATGTTTTTTGCGTGGAACGAGCGGCGTAATTGTGCACTCTGCGACGGCTTTGTCCCAATCACGAACCTCTACTCGTCCTCGAAAACGCACCGCTCGCCCTAGCCCGGCCACTATCGAGCACGGGGGGCCCAGTCCTTCACACCATCCTTCAGCCATGTCCGAGAGGCGTAGCTTGCTGCCGCTTTGGTCAGTTCGAAGACTCACGGCGATGCCGCGCTGTTGACGAAGCGACGTTGTGCTGGCACACGCTCTCCCGTAGGGGCTGATTTATGGGTCAGGCATGAGAGGGGGGGGGGGGGGAGGTATTCTGCGGGAGAAGGAGAGGAAGGAGGGGGACTCCGTTGCGATATGACGTTCGGTCGAAACGTTGTCCAGATTTATTTTGTTGGCCCAATATTCGCTATGTCATCAAATACTAAACTTTTGGCTGGTGTATATCAATGCTTTTATTATACCAAAGTTGAACTTGGGGACCTCAGGGGGGGAGGGGGGGGGTGCAGGAGGGCGTTTGCTCCCCCCCCCCCCCTAATCTCCCCAAGGTCAACGGGTAGCCTTCTGCAGTTTTTTCGAGGTGCGAATCTTGCCCCTACTATTTTTTTAGGCTAAAGTTTACCTAAAGCTTCCCTTCATACAGGTCTGCACGTCCACGTCTGTATTTAGATAGTATTGAAGTTTTAATTTTTTTTTTGCTTTTCTATGTTTTACCGAATAACGGGTAAAAATTAATTGCTATTGAAGCATTCAACCATCAATCGGTAAGTTAATTAATCAATTGCCCGGCCCTAATAATAAATCATATATGTGCGCAGTTTAGGCATAAAATATCCGCTATTTGTAAGAGTCAATGTTTAATAAATATATTCTTTAGTCTTAGCTGGTTAAGCACCTGCAACTCGCATTGCTTCTCTGAACCTTTCAAGTGGGCATGAAGGGTGCTATGAATTATCCATTGCTTTCCGGGTGGAACCAGTTGATCAGCGGAAGGGACGAGTGGATGGGAAAAAACGTCCAACCGCTGAACTACCAAACATTTTATAAGTCCTCCTCTTCTTCTTCTAATGTTGTTCTGTTCTTCTGTCCATTTTTAACCCTTTCCTTTTCCCTTACACTTATATTTACTGATCAAGTAGTTTGGTGCCCTGCAAAAGTTTTTTCTTTCCATGTTGCAAGGTCATTAAGCATTGATCTTGTTTTCCTTCTATAAGGAGGGGCCTGAAACATCTCGCGTGGAATCTGCTTTCTGTGGCGTCCAAAGATGTGAACTTGCTCGAGGTTTGCTTTGCATTTGCATGATCGACACTGGACAGCTAGGTGCACCGGTGCCATCAAGTTTTTAAGGTTGCCTGCTTATTCTTGTGCTCGTTCGTTTATATATCACGCCGATTGGCCGATACAGCAGCTCCTGTATGTCACAGCTATGTTGTAAATAGCTTCTTTTTTTTTTGTACGGAATATAGTTTGTGTTTTCTTTAGTGACACATTGATCTTTCTTATTGTTCTGTGCTTGGTTGATCTTCCTGCACGTTGAATAAGCTTCATTGAGTGCGTAAGTTACATGTAAGTTGCACATTTTATCGGCTCGCGACCTTTTTATTAGTTTAATTGTCAACCCCATGCATATAAAGGATCACCTCGAAGAGTTTCTTTGATTTTGTGTGTGCGTTTTTATTTTGATCATCTGTTCTCTTGTCTGCGCTGAAGATTTCCTCGCACACGGAGGCCAGTATTGGTCTCTGATACCCGGCTTTGTGAAGCCTAACAATGTGTTTTTCAAGCCTTTGATTGACTTGTTGCAGACAGTTTTTTTTAGTCGTTCTGCTTAAAAAAACTGTGATGGCCCCTCCTTGCTTCCGACCTTACTATCCTCAGCTGATTCCACCCGAAATAAATAACCGACTAGCTCAGCTCATTCCCATTGTAAGTATGACTGTAGGTAACAGACACAGAATTTCAGCATTTTTCGGTCTTCGTCGCACAAGTGTAGTAGCTATATTTTCTGTTTCAACTTATTCAGAAAATAGTCCCCAGTCTTGACAAAATAATAGTTGAAGCATTAAAGTGATTATTCTGGTAACTCATGTGAAATCAGCAGTTATTAAAAAACTTGAGAGCTCACAAAATGCTGTATACTAAGCAAACAAGTACTGTGTGTGATTTTGTTTCATTTTCTCCTCACATACAGCAACCAAAGACATTGGTTTAAACAAATGTGCATATTTCTGACATCAAGATTTGATGTTGGAGATTTTATAACTTCGCGCATTCAAGAAATGTGTCAACGCGAGTGCAACTAAAACCCACAAGATTACGTCTATACACAAGGTGTGTGATTTTAATACAGAAGTATTCATTTGGAAAGTGCCATGCGGAATAGAATAACGCGGTCTCTACATGTAGGTTATACGGCCAAAGGGACATAATATAATGTGATGTGTGAATTGTAATGTGAATTTGGTCATTAGCTCCTGAATTAGTGAAAAAAATGTATGGTTCAAATTTGAAAAATCTTGACCGTCATCTGTAACCACCGAATCAGTTAGATTTAGAAAAATTTGAAACACTTGGCAAGCCAGTGGGTGCTCTGAAATTTCCACTCGTACAACAGGCGCAACGCGGGCAGTCCGAAAACGGAGATGGAAAGATTCCCATCGTTGTTTTCGGACAGCCGGATTAGCGCCTGATGCAAAAGTCGTAATTTTAACTTACCCAGGAATTTAGCAAGTGTTTCAAATCTTTTTAAAGTTTATTAAATTACTAAAAGATGACGCTCAGCAAGTTTTCTTATCTGAAAACTTATATTTATGCGCACTAATTAAAAAGTTAATCAACTAATATTAGGAAATTATTCCATTTATTGTGACGATTTGCCCCGTACATTATGTACTTCTGGTCGTATAAATCACTTGCAGAAACCTCATTATTCTACTTTTCGCGGCTTCTTTTGGACAGAAAATTAGACAACTAAAAACATCACGAAATTAAACACAAGGACGAGTAGAATAAACAAAAAAAAAGCGCTGACATACGACTGTCGTTTTTTTTTTTCATAACAAAATAGATTGCAAAAAAAGAAAAGAAAAAAGCTCTATAGGACATTTTTACATCACAGTCAAAGTCACACTCGCAGTCATGGTCACGACCTATGTGATATAGATCTCGACCGTGACTGCGAATAACCGCGGCCATGACCATGACAGGCTACATTAACAGTTATGATCACATAAACGTGTCAGTCTGATTAATAGGAAATAGTTCACAATCAGACAAGGTAATTCATCCTACACTGGCACAAACATCGGGTCCATCATTTCTAATAAAAAACATCATGAAATTATCTAGCGGTCTCATTGGGATGTTTGGCAAGTATTTGAATATTATTTAACTAAGTAGTACAGCCACATGAATTACAATGTACAGCGAGAGGCACCTATGCTGCGCTCAATAAAGAGAGTGCTCACGAGACCTGGCGCTCACACATCTGCCCGTCTGGCCTATATAAATTTTTGGACAGGCCAGAGGGATTTTGTAAACTTTATAAATTTTCCAACCCGCCACATAATTACAATGGTGCCTTACTTTATACAACACACATTGTGGAGCTGCTATTTCAGTTGCGGAACATAAACGGCATTTGTTCTTACGGTGCACAGAAGACAACCGCTACATCAAACTTATTCACACACGTATTAATCCTGTCAGAAATGGTAGGTA